TGACTGAATAGTGGGTTAAAGTTTCAGGGACTTCTATCTTTATTATTAATTTTTTAATAGCTTCTTTTTTATATAAATTTATTTATTTTATTTACTTATTTATTTTTGGCTGTGTTGGGTCTTAGTTGCTGCGCATGGCTTTCTCTAGTTGTGGCAAGCGGGGGCTACTCTTCATTGTGGTGTGCGGGCTTCTCATTGCAGTGGCTTCTCTTGTTTCGGAGCATGGGCTCTAGGCGTGTGGGCTTCAGTAGTTGTGGCACTCAGGCTCAGGAGTTGTGGCTCGTGGACTCTAGAATGCAGGCTCAGTAGTTGTGGCACATGGGCTTAGTTGCTCTGCAGCATTTGGGATCTTCCCAGACCAGGACTCAAACCTGTGTCCCCTGAATTGGCAGGCGGATTCTTAACCACTGTGCCACCAGGTAAGTCCCCTTCTGTCTTTAAAATAGAGTAAAAGTTCTAGTAATCAGAATTTCCAAGAAATGATTTAATTTAATATAAGCCACCAAAGCCTTTGGACCCCTTCTGTAATCCTTCTGGATGAAATCCTTTTAAAATATAGTTGAAAATATTTCTTGCTTTGGATTAAAATGTCCATTAAACCTAATTACCTGCCCCTAAGATGTAATGTGTCCTTGAACACACCCCTTCAGTTTTTGGGTCTCAGTATCCTCATTGGTCAATGAGGAAGTGGGACCAGATGATTTTCTAAGTCTCCTACAAGACCCACTGTTTAACATGCCCCTAAATTGTTACTGTTTTTTGTTTGTTTTCATGACCTAAGGATCTTAGAAAACCCTCCCTATCTTTATCCTAATTACCATTTTCTTATACCTTACATTTCAGATTGTAGGAGAAGTAAGACTGTTCACACATGCACGGCCATTTCTTTGATTTATTTTCTTTTCAATATCTGAGCAGTCTAGCTGGTTATATTTGAGTCATCTGGGGGTCTTCTATACTTTATCATGTAAGTAAGATACTTATTAATACAAAAAAGTTAAATGCTCTGCTTATAATTAGTGAACACGTCATTTTTGGAATGCAACTTTCATGAACTGATTCATTCATTTAGCACCATGTGAAGGACTGGATATAGAGAATGAGTAGAATAAACCTTGCCCTGTGAAAGTCCTCATCTAGATTTGGAGAGACACATAAATGATTTGGATAGAGTGAGAGGCACAGCAGTTAAAAGTTCAGTCTCTGGAGGCTGATTATGTAGGTTTCACTCCTGACTCTGCCACTTATTTGCTGTATGAACCTGGGGAAGTCACTTAACTTCTCTATCCCTTGGTGCCTTCATCTGTAAAGGGACGATAATATTACCTACCTCATAGGGTTGTTGTGAGGATTTAAAGAGATAATATATGTAAAGGTTTAAAAGAGTGACTGGCACACAGTTCTAATTAAGTGTTGGCTATTATTATCATTGTTATTATCACCGTACAGAAATAGGTATGAATATAAAGTGAGAGAAATGGATATAAAATGAGGGCATTACATCAGATGACCTCAAATTGCATATTCTCACAATCTATTACTGTCTTCTACCCCAGCGGTCCCCAACCTTTTTGGCACCAGGGACCGGCTTTGTGGAAGACAATTTTTCCACGGACAGGGGTGGGATGGGATGGTTCAGGAGGTAACGTGAGCAGTGGGGAGCGATGAGGAGCGGCCGATGAAGCTTCGCTCACTCGCCCACCGCTCACCTCCTGCCGTGTGGCCTGGTTCCTGGCAGGCCGTGGACCGGTACTGCTCTGCGGCCCGGGCGTTGGGGACCCTTGCTGTACCCTGTATGTCCCCGCCCCCCCCATGTCACACCACCCTCTATTTCTGAGTCTTTGCTCATCCTCCCACAGTGATCTCTCTCTTTTATAAGTGCCCTTTTCACATACTGTTTGAATCATCAAATTCATATATCATATGCCTTCTCATTCTCTCACGGTACGCTTGGTACAACTTATGTCACACATGACGTGGCCACATATAATGCCATGTTTCCTATTTTGCCCAAGTCTTATGTGGATTACAGAGTGGCGCCACTGTACCTGGCTAACTGCATGGAAGGCGCTCAGTAAATACAGGTTGATTAATTCAAAGTACTCAGTTTCAGAAAGAGCCTTCACTGGCATAGACAAGAAGCTGGCAAACTTTTTCCATAAACGGTCAGATAGTAAATATTTTTCACTTTGTCGGCCATATGGTCTCTGGTACAACTGTCACAACTACTCCACTCTGCCATTGTAGCACTAAAGCAGTCACAGACGATATATAAATAAATGGGCATGGCCATGTTCCAACAAGTCTTTCCTTTTTTTTTAATTTAATTTTTTACTTTGAAATACTTATTAATTAACAAGAAGTTGAAAAGCACAGGGAGATTTTGTGCACCTTTCACCCAGTTCCCCCAGTGGTAGTACTATAATACAATGTCACGATACCTCAGGCAGGGATTAAAACCTGCAACAGAATAATAAATGTTATTTCCACCTTCCCCAACTCCCAACCTCTGATCTCACACCAGTTAGGTAAGTCATGGCCAATGAGAGCCTGCTGAATTGAGCCAAGCTCACTATCAGGCTATCATACTCTTTGCTTCCTAGGTATCTTATGCTTTTTACAGCTTGAACTATAAAGTTGATGACTAGAACATACTCACCGAAGAAGCAAAGCAATTTTAACTCTGCCAATCTGAGCTAACGTTTCATAATTTTAATCCCCACATTTTCAATTAAGAGATGGATGCAGCACATTCATCCATAAACAAAAAGGAAAAAAAGTAATTTCTTTAATGTACACCTGGGAAAGACAAGTGTAATCTAGATTTGTAGATTCAAACATATTGCAATTTAATTATCAGAGCAATTTAGAGCTACTATGAACATGATGGGGAGTGGTAAAGTTGTTTCATTTTTTGTTTGTTTTAAATCACAGTGTTCCATATTTTTTCAAAGACTGAAATCATGTCATTTGGCACAGTTTTGTTAATTATAAAGGTGGCTCACCAATCTCAGATAACCTAGTAGAGCCAAGAAGCCAAGAAGGTGATTAAGTTTTGTAAAAATAAGTATGATGACTTCAGAGGTTATTTTTTTGTCACATTACCTAGAAAAATGAGAAAGAATAAATTTTCTTTAAAAACAATGCAAGGCAAAAATTAACTGTTCTGGTATCTCAATTAAAAAATCCTTTGTAGTGTTCTGAGAATAAGATCCAGGGTTTCATCCATATTAACATTTATTTTTACCAAGATACTATATGAACAAAGAATATTGAGAAAAAGATCCAGGGTTCTACCCATACTTCGTTTAATTCATATAAAGACTACTAGAAGTGAGATGGACTACCTGAATAAATCTGGAACCCTCAGCAAAAAACTACACTTAAGATGTTAAAGTAAAACTCTGCTCCAAAAATACTAAATAAGTTTCCTGCTTGTCTCCTCCCAGCCCCCAACTCTTGAAGTGACTGTGGACGTCAATAAATAAAAGCAATTTTATGGGGACTTCCCTGGTGGTGCAGTGGTTAAGAATCCACCTGCCAATGCAGGGGACACGGGTTCAATCCCTGGTCTGGGAAGACTGCAAATGAGCAACTAAGCCCATGTGCCACAGCTACTGAGCCTGAGCTCTAGAGCTCGCGTGCAGCAACTACTGAAGCCCACACGCCTAGAGCCTGTGCTCCACAAGAGAAGCCACTGCAGTGAGAAGCCCCTGCACCCATATGGAATCTAAAAAAAAAAAAAAAAAAAAAAATATGGTTCTGAAGAATCTAGGGGCAGGACAGGAATAAAGACGCAGACATAGAAAATGGACTTGAGGACACGGGGAGGGGGAAGGGTACGCTGGTACGCTGACATATATACACTACCAAATTCAAAACAGAGAGCTAGTGGGAAGCAGCCGCATAGCACAGGGAGACCAGCTCAGTGCTTTGTGACCACCTAGAGGGGTGGGATAGGGAGGGTGGGAGGGAGATGCAAGAGGGAGGGGATATGGGGATATATGTATACGTATAGCTGATTCACTTTGTTATACAGCAGGAACTAACACAACAATGTAAAGCAATTATACTCCAGTAAAGATGTTAAAAAAAAAGGGGGTAGGGAGGACTGACTAAATTGAGATAATTAATAGCTATTGTAAAATACGTGTGCTATTTTCCTTGCAGTAAAAAAAAAAATAAATTTAATTTAAAAAACGTTAAAAAAAAAAGAAGCCCGCACATCGCAACGAAGAGTAGCCCCCACTTGCCGCAACTAGAGAAAGCCCGCGCACAGCAATGAAGGCCCAACACAGCCAAAAAAAAAAAAAAAAAAAAAACTATGCAGCAAATAACTTCCCTTACTTAAAAGGAAGGAAAAAGAAACAGGTCAAAGCCAAGTCCACACTGGTATTTGAAACAGTTCTATGCTTCTACTTTTTATTCCTGTTATATTTATTTCAGAGGGACCAAGTTGTCTTATAATAGGTATGAACCCAAGTAAACAGAATATAGATATACAAGTTCGACACAGAATTGTCTGCTAAATCTTTACATTCAGAGGATCAGATCATAAGTAATAATTTACAATCAGATCCATAAGTAATAATTTAATTTTTAATTAATAATTTAATTTTGAGCTGCTGTCAAAGCATGCTTATTCCTGGAAAAAAGAGTTGATCTTATTGACTGACATTCTGGTATACTTTAGGGTTAATTAAATAATCAATGAGGCAAAGTAGCCAATGTGCTATAAGATACAATTTTTCTATAGGATTATACTTCAAAATGATTTTATACTCAAACCAACCAGTTAAGTGAATAAAGTCAGAGAAGTTGGTAGCTCCTGTATAAACCCTAACATCTTTTAGGAAGATTTAAAAATCCAATCATGACTGGATTAACTTTGTAATTTATGACCTGTTAGGCTAAAGCTGTGGAATTAATTCAAGAATTATACATTACCAAGTACATAAAGATGTTGGTTTTAAATGTTATTTTTGCATAAGTTTACTTACCGCCATATAAGCATTTGTTCCAACATACGTCTTGGCTATAGAATTCACCAGCTATGAGACAAAACAGTCTGTCAGAACAATATAAAGATAATGTGGAAATAAAATGGGCAATTATTCCTCATTTAACTTACAATCATCATTTCTATAAATCAACTAAAAATTATATGAAAAGGAACAAATTTATCTACAAAGGCATTAAAAATGATTACATCTCTTTTCTTTTGAATGTGATTTCCAACTTAAACAAGCATAGCATTACAGTTTATAGCAGATAACCTTAAACAATTCACTTAAGCAGGATGCTTATCGCTTTAGTACCCCAAACCCGCCTGATTGTACAAAGTCAATTTGAAGTAGAATTTGAACACACTCATTTTTTAGTCAGATGGTCAAGATGTGAATGAAGCCTCATGCATTACTAGCATGAAACGAACACTAAATACGCTGGAGGGATAACAGACTTTGACAACTCATAATACAATGATGACCTTCGCTTTGGTCTTCGTGTTTGGCTGGGAGTAAAGGTGGCTGCAATTCAAATCAACATCACAGCACACTCATGGGTCACTATCACCAGGGTTCTCAGGGGAGGCCCAAAATGGAAATTAATTAAAATTTGTGCTGCACATTGTAATGGCCCTCCACCATTGTTGCTCCCAATATTAATTTTTATTGTGGGCCAGTTGGGCTCCCCAGGCACAGCTCCCACTCTGCCCTCCCTTTTGTCTGGCCAAAACGCTTTCATATCAAAGCTGCATATCAATGAAGTTTGCTATTCGTAAGTAGTAATTACAATATCAGCAGTTTTTACTGTCATTAAACAATGAACAATCATATTCTGATGAAGGAAACTCACTCAGAGATTAAAAATGAGTAACAATCCCAGCCAACGAGAAGATGCAGAGTTCTGTTTGTCTGGCAGCTGGGTGATTTTTCAATCCAGAGAGTAGAATGAAAATAGAAAGTGGATGTTACAGAGAAGAAAGCAGATCAGCAGGA